CTTCAAAAATCCGTTCCGTATGCTTTCCATCATAAATTTGTTTCATTCAACCTTGTGCTACTAAAAGATTTTGTCTCGCCTCATGCACCACCTGATCACAGGCCAAAAGAAACTTGTCAACCGCTTCCACCGCCGACGTGCCATGAACATAAGACAAGAGATTTGGGGGTTCACGTCCATACACTACTTCAAAAGGGGTCTTTTTAGTGGAATAATGAATGCTGGAGTTGTAGCAATATTCCACCAATGGAAGCCATAAAAACCCTTCCTTGGGTCTCTCACTTGTGAAACAACGCAAATACATCTCAGCAGTTCTACTTACCACCTTAGATTGCCCATTTGTTTGTGGGTGATAAGCAAAACTAAAATTGAATTAACTCTACATAATTGGAATAAGTGCTTCCAAAAACAAGAGGTAAAAATTGGGTCTCAATCACACAATTGATTTTAGCATCCCATGGAGATTGAAAATATTTTCAAAAAATACTTGTGCAACTGTTGGAGCGGTATAGGGATGTGAGATACCAATAAAATGTCCATATTTGGAGAAACAATCCACTACCACCAAAATAGTAGTTTGGCCTTTACAGGAAGGGAGCCCATCAATGAAATATATCGAAATATCGGTCCATACATGCCTGGGAATAGGTAAAGGCTAAGCAACCCCGCTGGCCTAGTGTGCTCCACCTTATGCCTTTGACAAATTTCACACTGCCGAATAAATTTCTGAACTTGGGTTCTCATTCCTTGCCAATAGAAGACTAACTTGATACAATGTAGTGTCTTATGAAAGCCTTCATGAGTTCTAGTGTGATATTCACTAATGATGATTGGTAGTAAAGAAAAGGTGGACTTAAGATAAATCCATCCTTTAAAGAATAGAAGCCCACTGTTGTAAGCCCATGGCCCTAATGTTTCCCTATCCTTGACTCGTTGGACTAGACCTTGCAATTCTGCATCTTGCTGAATTTCTTCCTGTATAGGCTCCACCCAATGAGGAATTGGGGTAGACAACGCATGCAATCCAACTTCAAATTCTCTGGAGAGAGCGTCGGCTACTGAATTCTCTTATCCCTTCTTGTACTCAATGAGAAAATAAAACTCATTAGTTTGAGCAACTACTTTTGTTGAGCGGTGGCGGTGATGGTTTGGCCATCAAATATTGAAGGCTATTGTGGTCGGTACGAACTACGAACTTAGCTCCTTGTAGGTACGGCCTCCATTTCTGCACTGCACATACTAGAGCCAACATCTATTTCTTGTAGATCGACAAAGCCAAAATTTTTCCATGAAGTGCTTTACTAAAAGTTGCTATGGCCGATCCTCTTGCATCAATACTGCCCCAAGCCCCACACCAAAAGCGTCACATTCTACTATAAAAGGTTGAGAGAAATTGGGTAATGCCAACATTGGCCCAGTAGTCATGGCCTCTTTTAGTTTTTTAAAGGCCTCTTCTGCTACAGGGGTCCAATCGAATGAATCTTTATTTAACACGTGAGTAAAAGGTTGGGCTATTTTCCCATAATTTTGAATAAAATTTCAGTAGTATCTCGTAAGACCGAGGAACCCACCTAAGTTATTAAACGTAGTTGGCTTGGGCCAATCCTCCATGGCCTTGATTTTTTCAGGGTCCAGAGAAACTCCTTCAATAGAAATTTTTTGACCTATATAACTCACTTCCATTTCTCCCTTTTTACATAAAGACTATGGGCCCTTGACATTTTAAAAACCTCCACCATGTGATGCACATGATCCTCCCAATTCTTACTATATATAAGTATGTCATCAAAGAAAATCAAGATAAACTTATGAAGAAAAGCTCGAAATACCTCATTCATATGCAATTGAAAGGTTGTTGGGGCATTGGTGAGTCCAAACAGCATCACTAAGAACTCGTAGTGCCCATGGTGGGTTCAAAAAGCCATTTTCTCCACATCTTCGTGCTTCATTCGAATTTGGTGGTAACCTGAGTGTAAATCCAATTTAGTTAAAAATTTGTGCCAAATAACTCATCCAATAATTCATCGATCACTGGTATCATAAATTTATCCTTAATATTGTTGTGGTTTAAAGTTTGATAATCTATACAAAGACGCCAAGGTCCATCATGCTTTTTTACTAACAAAACCGGGGAAGAGTACGGGCTTGTACTAAGGCGGATAACTCATTCTCCAACAACCCCTCTACCAATTTCTCAATTTCATTTTTTTGGTAGTGGGGATATCTGTAAGGCCTAACATTCACAGGGCCAGCCCCATCTGCGAAAGGAATCATGTGATCTTGTTGTCTCAAATGAGGCAATCCTTTGGGCTCAGTAAATAAATAAGTAAACTTGCCCAAAAGAATTTGCAATTCTGGATCAATGGGCCCGTCCTCATATTGCTGGGCTCCCAGGGTAATACACTGAAGGTATACAAAAAAACTCTTGCCCTTAAGCAGTTTACGCCTTATATGGTCTTCATCGATAATTCAGTTCTTTGGTCCACTTCTTCCATGGAGTTCGCCAGTCTTACCACGCCAATAGAACCTCATCCAAAGCTCCGAAAATTCCCAAATAATGGGACCAAGCTTCCTTAGCCATTGAGGTCCAAACACTGCCTCACATCCTTTGATGGGTAAGAGGAAGAAATCCACTAGAAATTTAGCCCCTCCGCTTGAACTCCATAGCAGACTCCATCACTGGTGAGTTTGCTTCCATTAGCCACCAACACCTCGAATTTACCGCCCTTCACTGGTTGGAGTCCCATGGTTTCTGCCACTTTGGTGTTTAGGAAGTTGTGGGTGCTTCCAGAGTCAACGAGAATGTTGAGACTGAAATACCCAATCTTCCCTCTGATTCTCATCGTTCGTGGTGCCTGCAACCCAGCCATAACGTGTAAACTAATTTCTAGAGCTTCAATTTCTTCCTCGCAGCTATCTTCAACGTTAACGGTATCCCTTTCATAGACACTATCATCCAACGGAAACATTCCCTTAATAAGGAAAATTTTTCTTGCAACGGTGTACTGGCACAAATTTTTCATCGCAATTGAAACATAGTCCCCTCTCCCTCAACTCCTTGAGCTCCACCGGACTGAGTCTCCTGATAATGGGGTTTCTAGTTCGAGCTAGTGCAAAAGAAGGCAGTGGCGGCAAGTTTGGTGGGTTGGGATTTCCACTAAATTCAGGCACACCCACCCTTCGTGGTGGTGGGTTTTGGGATTCATACAACCGAGCGAGCCCTATAGCAGTTGTCAACCTGAAGGGAGTTGCCGCTTGCACATCTAAGCTCAAGTTTTCTCAGAAACCATTGATAAAACCCCCAACTTTCTGCTCGACGGTAAGTGTCCCTGCTCTGTTTAGTAGTCGTTCATACTCGGTGTGATATTCTTTTACACTACCTGCATGTCTGAGTTTTGTGAGATCCCCATAGAAATTCTAAAATTTGGTTGGACCGTAATGAATATTGAGTCCATTTTGTGAGAGTTTCCCAGTTGGTGATTTCCCCTTCATTCTTTCCTCGTTGATACCATAATTTGGTTTCTCCATCGAGATGATAGGCGGTCAGTGGTAACTTCTTGGATTCCTTTGTTGATTGAAAGTCAAAAAATTGCTCCACAGTACATATCGACCCCGTCGGCTCCTCATCTCCCCCATAGCGAGGGAAGTCCAATTTCGCCACCTTTGGAATGGTTGATGAGAACAATGGGGAAGAATAAGTTCTACCACCCTTTGACGACTATTCTTCTTCACGCCCTCCTCGACAGTTTTTCAATCTGGATGTTATTGTCTGAAACATCTCCATTTGTTTCATCATGATTTCTTTTTCGCGACAGTATCACTCGTTGTATCTCCTGCTTTACATATGCGCTTAAAGAACCCAATTCGTTCTCCAAACACTCCAAGTGATCCCTTGACATCTCTGGCTCTGATACCAAATTATTATGTTGCTCAGAAATCGCACACGTAACAGGCTATGCACTGGAAAGAACCATGATCTTTTTACGTGGTTTGCCTACTTTGAGAGACAACGAATTTCCTAGAACACTTCAATGGGTTTTGGACCTCCTTGGGTAGAGAATTCGAGTTTCTCTAGACTCCTAAATCAACTGACGTTGAAGATAAATAATTGATTGATTGATAACTTTTATTCATAATCCTTGCTCTTTAAATATAGTTTACAAGGCAATTCAAGATAATAACAAATAGTCAAGATGATAACAAATCCTAATCTACTGGGATAACATGCCTACCTCCATATCTAACTAATACTTAGAGATAATAGAAATCCTAAGCACTATCTCCTTAAAGGTGCTAGTGTCCTTACTCAACTCAAATCTAAATACTAGGATGTCGGCCATATCAACTTACCACCGTTAACTTTATCAAATAGAAGGTTAGAGGGCCAATACTTATCCAAAGGAATGATTAATCTGTTCCGCACCCCTCTTTGGGTGCTCTATTAGGTCTTCTTATTTAAATTTTTCACCAGTCTCTTTTTGAATATTTCCTCCTCTACTCATGTAGTTTGATTTTAATAATCTCTCTTGTTGTGTGATAACTCTTATACTTGTATTTACTCTTCTGCTCTAAGTGTAGATTGATCGGTTGCATACAAAGAAACATGAGCAACATAGATTTATGTGTGTATATATAGTTCATGTACTGTCTCCATGTCCTGCCTAGTAAAGATATTGATCATTACAATGTTATTTTTTGATTTGGCAATCCCATAATGCCCATTAAAATATGCATAACAACAACACTAACAACAACAACAACATTAACAACAACAAAAAACGTCAACAACAACAATAACAATATAAAGGCTGGACAAATTTTCACTTGAACATCTAAAACTACAAAACTAGTTGCCTAATCCATCTTTAACTGGTAGTTGGCAATATAAGGGCTAGACAAAAATATACACTCCAAAATAAAATTGTCCTACCATAATGTATTCATGTATTAATATTGACACATATTTGGTATGCTTAAAGTCTCACCACTGTATGGGTGACCTAGTAGAGCATACGATCACTTTTCTTACCAAAAATACCGGGGCCATAGGTGGATTTGATCATGTCTAGAAGGAGTGGAAATTGCAAAGATGCAAACAATATCACAGGTACACATGCCAATGCGACCACAGCGGTAAGAATCCATGCATTTTTATCTCCAAAAACAAGAAAAAGTGCTGCTCCAAAAGCTGTCATCATAAATATCATGGATAGGAAAAGGGTCACAAGTCCAATAATTAATCTCTTGGGTAGTGCATAGAGAAAATCCTCTTCGGCATAGCGTGAAGTTAGGATGGACAAGAACATAATCAAGGAAGAGCTTGACGAGAAAAGAGCAAGTGCATCAGATATAGCAAAAACTCTAAAACCTGTTTCTTTGGAGAAGTTGGGAAGGCCATCACCTTTGTTTCCACCTGGTACGGTAATTGCCGCTGCAAACACTACAGTAACAATTAGTGCTGCTACAATAGTGCATGATGTAGATGTGTCTTTCATCCATTTCTCTCCTTCCTTCACCAAGTCTTCATGTGTCTCTGTAAATAACATTTTTGGTGTCTTCCCATTGTTGTTTTTACGCTCTCTGTCATGAGCAAGTGTAATTTTTTCCACTTCCTATGTCAAACAAGGTGACTACAGAATTAGAAAGCAAGTTTGTTGTGCATGCCTTAGCTCTTTAAAAATGTTTGATGTAGCAATCAAGATTTTGTGCAGTGCTTAGTATTCAATTAGAATGAATCCTATTGTTTTCATGTAAATAGATTGATAGAATTTATTATAATAATTGCAATGATGCCCCTGACAGATCTGTATATATTATCCTTCCACCCCATGATATTTATAGCTGTGACAATAAGACTTCTCCGCTAGACATGCATTAGTGCCCTTAATAGAAATGACTTAAATCAACAAAAAACAACACCCCTTGTTCTTGTTGACATAAAATTAATCCTACTTACCAAAAAAAAAGACGTAAAATCAATCCTAAATTAAAACTTAATCATCATTGGACCGAAAAAAAAGAGAGACAGAACCCCATCTTTATCTTCTTTTCTATCACATATTGCCTCATACATAACACCACACGCACATACAACATATACCACACAGATTCTGATGGGTTATTTTGAGTTGGATTTTTGGAGTTACCAGCTTTAATTTCAGATGGAAATGAAAGGCCTGAAATGTTCAGAGTATTTTGGCTTCAAATTTAGGTTGCGGTCTTTTAAGCTGTAAATCCAAGAAATGGTGGATGTGGTTGTGTTTATACTTTGACATACAGAGTGGGAGAAAGGTAATGTTAGAATGATAATAGTCGCAATTGTTCTCAATCATGATTTGTTAATTGGCTCGGTTTTGAAACTGAGATTGCTTTCACGAATGTGGCTTTAAAAAATATTTATTTAAAGGATTAATCTCATTTTGCACCTCGAAAGATTATTCAAATCTCAATTTATACCCTCAAAGATTAAAAATCTCAATTTACACCCTCAAAGATAGAAATTTGTATCAATATGCACCTCCAAAGATCAAAAATCTAAATTTGTACCCTCAAAGATAGAAATTTATATCAATGTGCACCCCAAAGATAAAAAATCTCAATTTTCACCCTCAAAGATAGAAATTTATATCAATGTCAACCCCAAAGATAAAAATCTCAAGGGTTAATCTCATTTTGCATCCTAAAAGATTGTTCAAATCTTAATTTGCACCCTCAAAGATAAAAAATCTCAATTTGCACCATCAAAGATAGAAATTTGTATCAATGTGCATCCCCAAAGATAAAAAATCTCAATTTGCACCCTCAAAGATAGAAATTTGTATCAATGTGCACCTAAAATTAAATTAATAAATTATACTTAGATCCACTCATGTTTGTCACTTAATCATTTGAACTCCTTCACATTTAGAATATTCCCCTTACATCTCACGACGTTTGTGCATGTGTAACACATAACCACTTTTCGTTGATATCTGTTAATATAATCATTAAAAAATATGATTTTATCCTAATAAAAAATTATAATTTCATATTATCTTTTATTTTGTGGATTCGATATACTCTAAAGTTGCAAATCAAGCTTACATTTGAATGTCTAATAAAATGTAGATATTTATATAAAAGGTAATATGAAAAACATTATATAAATATTTATATTTTATTAGACATTCAAATGGTAAACTAGATTTTGCACATTGATACAAATTTCTATCTTTGAGGGTGCAAATTGAGATTTTTTATCTTTGGGGATGCACATTGATATAAATTTTTATCTTTGATGGTGCAAATTGCGATTTTTTATCTTTGAGGGTACAAATTGAGATTTGAACAATCTTTAGAGTACAAAATGAGATTAACCCTTATTTAAACTACCGTAAATTCATAAATAAGTTTAAAACTGTAATATTTGCTGAGAGTAATATCATTTGAACACAAAAATTTAACTTAATTTACTTATAAAATAATGTTTCAAGTGATATATATGGTGTTAATGAAAAAGTCAAATGTGAGATCGATTATTAATTACGACAATTTGTTTTTTGAGTCTGGTGGAGTCATGGTCGGGGGGGGGGGGACGATAAGAAAAAAGGTTTGGTGGTTGTTTTGAGGTGGCAGGAAGTAATGGTGCTTCATTTTATGAAATCTGAAAATGTGTTGTTTCATTCAAACCATTAACCCTGACTAATTAAGTTATATGACTGTGTTATAGATAACAAATTCTTATACCAAGCTAGGTTCATTTTTTAGAAATGTAACAGACTAAAGGAACCTCCAAATAGGGTGGTCTAGTAGGGTACCAGTCTTACTCCTCATCTTGAAGTTGGGAGTTTGAATCTTAGAATTTCCATTGGAGCTTAGTGGTTGGCCGCTATGCTAGACCTAGTTAGGTCTAGTTCCGAAAAGTGTTCCAGGTGTGGTCAGGAGGTTTATGAACCCACCGTTAAAGGCTTATTAGGGTGGTCACTGGACACTCTTTCTTGTCCCCATCCCTTTCTTTTAATATAAAAAAGAAAAAAAAATAGACTAAAAGTGAATTACCAAAATGACACATATTAGAAACTTTAGACACTAAAGTAATCCCTTAAGTATAATCACATCAACTCCTCTTTTAGTTAACTTAGATAGTCGTCTTCAATTGGACAAAAGTGACGCAAATTATTAATGTAAGGGATTCAAATAACACAATTGAAAGAATAAGCATCGAAGCAACACAAACGGCCTGTTTAATTTGCGTTTTAAAAAATAGTATCCGAAAATAGTTTTTTAGAAGATTTTTATATTTTTTTAGATAAAAAACTTGTTTGGTTAGATGATTTCAAAAATAATTTTACAATACAAAAAATAGTAAAACCTGTTTAGACAACTTATTAATAAAAAAATATAAAAAAATTATTTTTAGATTGACAATTTCATAACTATGTGTGTGTATATATATATATACCCCTCACACATAATATATATATATATATATATATATTCTCCCATATCTGAATCTTTACCACAATCCTTGCACGTGAGAGTGAATCTTTACTACATAACCACTTCCTAGCTCAGACACAAATAATTTCTACAGAAATATATGTAATAATTTTCAAACACATCTATGTAGTGTACCAAGCATGTGCATGGTATATGTGCAGACATGCCTGAGTTTAACTCGTTATGTATGTAGTGTTCTTCCGGAGTGTGCGCGTAGAATGCATACGTGCATTTTTCTGTTAATTATCTAGGCATGAATACTCAATAGAAAAGTTATTTTAAAAAATGACTCCAAGTATCTTATAATCGGATGGTGGTAGTTTCTTTTTGGATTTTTATATTTAAATGAAGTCGGACTTAAACTATATTCTTTCTTAGTAAGAAAAAGAGATGGGATGGGATTCAGTACCTTAAACCATAACAATTCACGCTGCATCTGTAAAGCTGCACCAGCTGCTGTGGCTCTGAGATTGAGTTTCACATGACTACCCAAACATCCGGCTAAATGTAGACCACAATTTCCTTCATTTTCTACCATATTTAAAAAGTTGTAGCCAACCTCACCATATTGGTGTATGAGATTGAATATATTTTCACGACGATTCGCGATTGAGAGATGGAAAATTGTGTGGTCTGACTTATCTCGAACATATATCGATTTAGAACTTATACTTAAGATTTCTTCGGCAACTTCACAATTCCCATACATCACCGCAGTTTTCAGAGGAGCTGAAACTTTTAATGCAGCTGTTGAATTATCCAATTTTCCAATTTCATCACAAATGAGTTTCGCAAGCTGAATTGCTTGAAGATGTATTAGTTTTGCTTCTTGGATGTTCTTAACCTGCGGCACTGCAATCAAATGCACTTAAGAATGATGCAACAACAATTCGATAATCGGCCATCAACATGTTACATACCTAATGTTTTTATGACTTCCCAAAATATCGAATGCAATTTTTGCCTCACTGTACACAACCAAAACAAATAAAAATTAGAGAAGGGTAGCCACAAAAACAAATTAATTCATACACATGAAATAAACTATGACAAACCTGAAATGAAGCCATCACCGGGATTCTCTATATCCCCTCCACTCTGTTGGTCTGTAAGGTTTTCCAATTTTGTCGGAGAACCTAGATCACAGAAGAATATAGTGATGGAAGCATGCATGCATGCTTCTAGAGACCAGAGAGCAACATTTTGAATGAATTGGAATTTGTTATCATAAAAAGGTTGGTGTCATATGCTTACAAAACCACAATTGACTTAATCGAATACAAATTATTTGTAACCCTGTTAATGAGATTATCAATTCCAATGCAAATTCTCCATTGCCCGAGTTAATTGAAAAAGAAAAGAAGAGAAGCATTCTATCCCTGATTATTTAGTTTTTTTTTTCCCTCTGATGATAGGAAAGAAACAACTATTACTAGACAAACAACAAGATCTTTCAAAGTATGGCTAGCTATAAAATCCAAGAGCACAGAGCACAAGATGAGCACAGAAGATTATTACTTCAATAATCTGGGCGTAGAGCCCAAAAACCTCAGTTTTCAAAATTTTTATGTGGAAACCCTTGCGGTAGAAACCACAAGACAACTATTAAAGGCATCAAGGGAAATATCTCTTGGATCAAAAAATAAATAACGAAGAGGAAGAGGAAGAATAATGACAGGATTAACAAACAACTAGTGAAAAGAGGCTTTCTTTACAACTGGAACTGGTGGATGTAAAGAGCTACTTGCCAAGAACAATACTCTAAAATTTCATCAAATTCGGAGTTGAATTTTTCGTTCGATCTTCTGGTCAACGAATTGAATCCATGTGTGGTGCAACTTACCACACCGGATTGCTCCTCACAAAAAAACTTCAACAACACTCCACCCGTCAAAACAAACTTTTCTTTTCATTTTATTACAGAAGGCTTAGATCTCTCCTCTACTTTCTATTAGTTACAGATATGTCCTTATTTTCACAGATCTGCTAGTCTACTCAATGATCTGCAAGAAATACAAGGTCACCCTATTATAAAGAAGAGGTTAATAATCAAACAATGGCACATGAAGGTAATAAGAAATAGAAAAAATAGGAGATGGAACCATACGAAATACTAACAAGTATAGATCAAGCGTTGCCAGGAGTTTAGGCGTGCTCCACTTGGGAATGAAGATGGCTTTTGTGCAATTGCTTCCAAAGGACCTGAATTCCAACTTGCCAACTTAGGGTAATCCCGAACCAAACGTAGAGCAAGGTCTGTAACGCCAACAGGAAAGACAAGTTAATTGATGAAAAATGATTCTATTATAAACATTTGACGCAATTATTCAAGCACCCCTTTGTACTTCAGAAATTACACTAAGACCCTAATCTTTCAATGGGTTAATAATTTAAGCAAAAATGGGGTAGCAATCGGTTGTAGGTTGTAAGTATAACTAATTAGTAGTTAGTCAATCATATAAAAACTAAAATTGGGTAATTAAAAACAAAATTGTAATTAATTTGGTATAATTAGGTAATAACTATCAAAAGTGTACTTATCTTGTTTTAATTGACTAACCCATTTTCAAAATGATAACTAATTTGACGAAAGTGAATACATAATCTTCAAAAACAAAATTATTATGGTAATTCATTGCCATAAATATGTATTAAATTACTAATCTATCTATTATATTACAAACAATTTAGATAGAAGAAGGCTTGACTGAATTTTAAGGTTTTTAATTTAAAAAATATCATTCCCTTAAATCAATTCTTTACACGTGGATTTTTTTTAATTCCTCCACAATCTAAATACTTATCTTTTTGCAAACACTCTGAAAACATCTCCAACAGATGCTGTAAAAGAACAAAATAACTAAAATTTAGCCAATTAAAGTCAAAATTCATCTCTAACAGATGTTCTTCATATTATGTAAAATACATTTTTGCTACAGTGACACTCTAAATATAGAATGTCACTGTAGCAATATGTAAACATTTATATATATTATTTTCTCTCTCTTCCTCTCCTTTCTTCCCTTTTCTCTCTTTCTCTCTTTCACTATTTCCAAAAAAAATAATACAAAAGGAGCGATAAATAATATTTAAAATGAGTAGTTAAAAATATAAAAAATTTGTTGGAGTGTGTATTGAAAAAGTAAGCAGCTAAAATAGAAAGACTGCACTACGCCTGGGGCTTCGCCTGAAGAGCTTGTGGCACCGCCCAGCCTAGGATGAGCACCCTCTAAAGATTCACTCCGCCATCCACCTGTGTTTGGGGTCCCTCTTGATGCACTAAAAAGATTAATTAAAACCTCTTTGCTCGTGCCAAATCTTGCACTAAGAGTCCCGAAGGGTCGCTCGCCAACTGTTGAGGCCACACCAAAACCAGCGACAAGAGGGAGACCCAAGCGTCCAAAGCCCGAAGGGGTGTTCTACAAGCTCCTGGCGCCGCCCAAGGGGGCACCACCCATGGTCCTTGCTCTTCCCTTGCTTTGCTCAAGTCCACCACCTGTGTTGCAATCAAGCCCACTCGAAGCCTGGGCGCCGACTGCCTGGACCAAGATGGGCGTTTGCGTCGTTCTCCCCAGACCGCTACATGGAACGGCCCCATGGGCGCCGCCTATGGCAGCCCCTTGGGCCTAGTTATAGAAGAAGAATGACTTGTCAAGGAAGCCTTGTTAAAACTTCTTGAAGAAGCTTAGTAAGAAGCTTCTTAAGGAAGCTTGGGGGAGGCAACTACAGAACAATTGGGGAGGAAGGAAGAAGAATGGGCATGACATGAACAGTGATCTCTATTTATAGACGAGGATGTAAAAAAATAATTTCGCCTCAAACGGACTCTTGTACGCAAAATTATGGCCGTTCGAAGTTTTACTGGATTTTCAATGCTCCAGTAGTCCTCCTGGCCCATGGGCGCCTACCTCTCACCTTGGGCGTTTGTCTTATTGCCTTGGGTGCCCACATCGGCCACATGGGTGTCGCCCAAAGCACCTTCAGCAATCCTACTCGCCCATGGGTGCCTACCTCTCGCCTTGGGCGCCCACCTCGGCCACATGGGTGTCGCCCAAAGCACCTCCATGGGAGTCTCTCTTGGTTCCCATGAACTTGTTACGGTATTTAAAAAAAAAAAATTCGACTCACTCTGGAGAAAGTATAGCACGTACCCACAACTTTTTCCTCTCACCAAAAGTCAGAGGCTTGGGGGCATAGGGGACAAATGATGAGCACAAATTTGACTGAGCTAGGCCCAATGAAATTAATCCGAGAAAGCTCGAAGGAAAGTCCAAATCAAAATTGGATCGACCCATTGGAAAGGAAGACATCAAGAGGTCAACACCCAAAGCCCCAAGGCCAACGCCCAAGAGACTTAGCAGCCGTTGGGCGCCGCCCATGGCAGCCCCTTGGGCGCCACCTAGGCTGGCCTCTTGGGCGCCTCCCTCTTTTCTCCTCTTCACCTTAGAACTCCAATCCAAGTCCAAGTCACACCAACTCAAGACAGGTCCAGGCTCAAGACGAGGATCAAGTCCAATCCAGCTAAGAGTCCTCCTCCGAAAGAATAGGAGCACGAGGGATTAAACATCGGGATAAGCGCAGAGATCTCCTACTATAACTATACTTACCAAAGTAGTAGAAGTTCACTCATCCACGTCACTACCTTACCCTAACTATATAATATAAGCCCTCTCAACATTGAGGGCAACACCTCTGAAACCTCTACGCACCCCCTGCATTCATTGTTTTCTCTCTGTCTCCCCAAAAGCATTGTATCTCTCCGGAGTACTATCATTCATCAATAAAGAACATAGGTCACCGCTGTCATTCCCAAAAGTGGAGTAGGTCATCTGAGACCGAACCACTATATATACTTGTGTTGATCCATTATTTACTCTTAATTGTCATTGATTGCTTGTTTGTCACTCATTAATTGCTCATTAATCACACCCGTTCATATCCTTGACTATTGATCTTGCACAAGACAATTTTGTGCATCATCAAAAGAGATAGTAAGAACACAAAAATAATAGTGATTCATTAGCTATACAACTTGGCTAATCCACTTTAATAGAATTTTTTGCTCATTTGTTAATTGTATATTACGTGAGGAAGAAGGTAGGGTTACAATTTGTTAAATCCTTTATGTGAAAAGGGCCTTTGTATTTATACCCACAGATGTGGTGACCCTTCTACCGTCATCATGTGGTCCCCTAGTTTGGTGGATTTTATTGAAAGAATATTTGTCTTAAAATCTATATTTCTTACGCTGTTAGAAACTATAATCTCTTGATGTGGGTTTCTAGAACATGATGAGGTGGACTTGCAGCACATGATGATATGGCTTTGTAGCATATGCTAAGGTGGCTTTACGACCTGTTTTCCCACTTGAAGACGTCATGATCTTTTGTTCTTCGGACAAGGCTCGCTATTCGAATGTCTTACACTGGGATGAGCTTTGATTTTATAGCAAGCTCATGAACATGGAGTTTGGTCTAATCGAATGTCTCTAGCTAATGATGTTGATTCTTATCGTGACTTCTATATGAGTGACCAGAGCGCTCTTACCTGAGGTCATCCTAGATTGGCCTGGGATCTCGTCCATGGACTAACATTTGACTATAAAGTTGGGGGACAAACCTCATTGCCTGACCCTATAATGGTCCATTTACTTAGCTAGTTTATAATCAATTAGTGATGCAATTTTTGGGTATCAACAGTTGTCTTGCAATCAAGAGCTTGACCTATCTGTTTTGGGCATAGCTTGGGATTGTATTCTAAGCATGGTTAAGATATCATCTTCCTTGAGAGCAACTCTGGGTGCTTAAGTGAACTAAAAGGACGTGACAGGACAATTTTGCAGGGATTACAACATTGTGCAAACATGGGGAACAAGAAATACCTCATTTTTTGGGCCATGACATTCTCATTGTGCCATGTGGAGCAGTACACAGACGCAATTAATGTGCTTGGAGAGAGAAAACTACCAAAACTTCATCTATTTCAACTACTCTCTAAATTCGATCTTTCACATTACCAATCCTTTTCCCGTTCAAACCTTTTCTTCCCTGAATTTTCCTTTCAAATTTTTGAGTTTGTGTGAGTTCTAAAGTCCCTAGAGTATTTCTTGAGAGGTTTGAAAAGAATTGATTCAGAGATCCGAGCAGACTAGTAGGCTTCTTTCGTGCTTCGCC